CGTGGAACATTCCAGCTGCTGGTGCTGGAACCCCAGGCTGCCGCGTGGACCATTCCAACTGCTGGTGCTAGAACCCCAGGCCGCGGCGTGGACCATTCCAACTGCTGGTGCTAGAACCCCAGGCCGCAGCGTGGACCATTCCAACTGCTGGTGCTAGAACCCCAGGCGCGCGTGGACCATTCCAACTGCTGGTGCTAGAACCCCAGGCACAGGTGGAACATTCCAGCTGCTGGTGCTGGAACCCCAGGCTGCCGTGACATTCCAGTGCTGGTGCTGAACCCAGGCTGCGCGTGGACCATTCCAACTGCTGGTGCTAGAACCCAGGCGGTGGAATTCCAAGTGGTGCTAGAACCCCAGGCACAGCGTGGAACATTCCAGCTACTGGTGCTAGAACCCCAGGCCGCGGCGTGGACCATTCCAACTGCTGGTGCTAGAACCCCAGGCCGCGGCGTGGACCATTCCAACTGCTGGTGCTAGAACCCCAGGCTGCCGCGTGGACCATTCCAACTGCTGGTGCTAGAACCCCAGGCGCCGCGTGGACCATTCCAACTGCTGGTGCTAGAACCCCAGGCCACAGCGTGGACCATTCCAACTGCTGGTGCTAGAACCCCAGGCCACAGCGTGGAACATTCCAGCTGCTGGTGCTGGAACCCCAGGCTGCCGCGTGGACCATTCCAACTGCTGGTGCTAGAACCCCAGGCCGCGGCGTGGACGATTCCAACTGCTGGTGCTAGAACCCCACGCCGCAGCGTGGAACATTCCAACTGCTGGTGCTAGAACCCCAGGCCGCGGCGTGGACGATTCCAACTGCTGGTGCTAGAACCCCAGGCCACAGCGTGGAACATTCCAACTGCTGGTGCTAGAACCCCAGGCTGCCGCGTGGAACATTCCAGCTGCTGGTGCTAGAACCCCAGGCCGCGGCATGGACCATTCCAACTGCTGGTGCTAGAACCCCAGGCTGCCGCGTGGAACATCCCAGCTGCTGGCGCTCGAGCCCGCAGCCTGCAGCCTGGACCATTCCAAATGTCAGTGCTAGAGCCAGAAGGTGGATCACTCCCTACTCGCGTAGCGGGCAGCGTGAAAAGCCAGGTCATCAGGCAATGGAGAAAGCAGCAGATTTGGGAGGGTAGGTGGCACCAGGGAGAGTTAAAACTGAAGCCGAAGCATCAGCTCAGCGGTCACGCTCTCCTGGCAATGGGATGCTGTAAGCGTCGGAGACGGTTTCTTGCTAGAGACTATAAAATCACAGGCCCCCAGGCCTTGCCTTCGCCTGTCCTGCTCTCCCCCCCGCCACCTTTCATAACCTCCCTGTGACTTTTCCTGCCTTTTCCCCAGCAACAAATGGGTAGGACCCTCCCTGCTTCACAGGCACAAGATGAGACACATTTTCTTCACCAGGCATGCCTAGGTGCGGTTCTTGGCTGAAGACAGGGAACCAGCCAATAGGCAAACATTTTCCTCCCCTCCGGAGCTGAAAGGACAGGGTGTGTCCCAGAGCAACGGGGCATGCATGGAGGCTAGGAGCGTCTGGGCACAGAGGGGAAGAGAACAAACTGGGAACGCCGCTGCTCACTGACTCTTAGTGACTCGTGCCATTGAGCTGGAGGGAGGGAATCCAGGTGAAACAGGAACACCTCGATGTTAGCAAGGGACGACCCTAGCTCCATGCCTGACTCCATGCATGTTGCTGAGACGGGTGGCAGTCCTGTGTTTGCCGTGCAATAGCTGTGTCTACAGGCTGCATAGCACAATATTCCCGTGTATTAAAATCAATGTGACAGTGAGCCCTAATTGAGGTTGGGGCCCCATTATGCTAGGCCCTGTACAGACCCAGAGTAAGAGACTCCTTGCCCCGATGAGCTAAGGGTCTGATCTGCAAAGGTATTTAGGCACCTAACTCCCATGGATTTCAGTGGGGAGTTAAGCACATAACAGCTTTGAGGCCTACAGCCTAAATAGACAAGGAAGACAGAAGAAATGGTATTATCCCCATCATACAGATGGGGAGCTGAGGCACAGAGAGAGGGGCTCAAGTTCACAAAGGACAGTCTGAGACGGGGTAGGAACTGAACCCCTCTCTCGAGTCTTGGACCACTATCCATAAGCCCATCCTTCCTGTGCAGGATAAGGAGACGTACATGCACAGTGCAGCACCCCGGCAACGTGGGGCTTCCATTGCCTGGGTGGAGCTGATCCACCGAACAGCTCCGCGGGTCAGTTATTGCTGCTGCCACCCAGCCGGGCTCTGGGCGGAAAGTAGGGCTGAGAGGAGGAACAGCAGAAAGAACGTCTCTCACCTCAGGCTCCGATCTAGTCAGATTTCATCAGCAAAGCAGGGTCGGTCCAGGCCAGCACTGCGGTGAGAAATCGCGCAGGGAAAAGCCTGGCCGTTCGCGATAATCACACGTGCTGTGGGCACATCTGCCAGGAGTAGGAGATGGGATGTTACCCCGTGTTCCGGCAAACCTCCAGTGGCAGGCACAGAAGTTTAATCTCCTGCCCTTGCAGGATTGCTCCCGACAGCATCTTCTAGTGAGTCATCCTGCCTAGATGTCTATATCTCCGGGGATGGAGCGTCCATTGGAAGACTCTCACCCAGTCACATAGATCCCACTGTTGAGGGTGTTTCTCTTGATATTTATCCTGCATCATATTACTTTTTTTTTTAAACCATCCCCTTATTTCTAGTTACAACTTCTTGGACCATTCTCTTTGATATTGAAATAGTTGTGGCTTTAGGTGGCCTGTCCCACCTTAGTTATTACTTATTCAAGAGACATGTGTTTGGATGAGTATAATCTGATACCCTAAATTCCTTCTCTGGTTCCCCTGGCAATGGATATTCTTGGTTCCTCTCGTCCATAAATTGTAGGCTAGTATTGTTGTACGTAGCCAGCTCTGAGGAAGGGACTGAAGGTCCGGAACAAAATCCATTTTTGCCATAGACGATTTGTAAAAAGAATTCATTCTGAGAGGTAATGTGAGGAAAATTGGCAGATCTGATTTCTATTCCCAGCTCTGCCACTTACCTGCTGGGTGACCTTTGGCAAGCCACTTCCTCTTTCTCCTTTGGCATGTCTCTTTAGATGTAAGCTCCTTGGGGCAGGGACTGTCTCTTATTAAGTGTCTGTGCGCTGCCCTGCAGTGGGGGCTCTCGCCTCAAGGCAACTGAAATACAAATAATAAGAAGAACATAAGAGCATAAGAACGGCCACACTGGTTCAGAGCAAAGGTTCATCTAACCCAGAATCCTGTCTTCTGACAGTGGCCAGTGCCAGGTGCCCCAGAGGGAATGAACCGACCAGGGAACCATCCAGTGATCCATCCCCTGTCGCCCATTCCCAGCTTATGGCAAACAGAGGCTAAGGACACCATCCCTGCCCATCCTGGCTAATAGCCATTGATGGACCGATCCTCCAGGAACTTTATCTAGTTCTTTTTTGAACCCTGTTATAGTCTTGGCCTTCACAACATCATCTGGCAGGGAGTTCCACAGGTTGCCTCTGCGATGTGTGAAGAAACACTTCCTTGTGTTTGTTTTACATCGTCTGCCTATTCATTTCACTGGATGACCCCCCTAGTTCTGAGCCTGAACCAAGGTTAATTTTAGGTATGTTTGAGGTTGGAGCTGAACGCTTTTCAGGCCACTAAAAAGCGGCCTCATCTCAGTGATGAGCGAACAGCTTCCTGTGCACATGCTATACGGCGATGGCCATTGGACGAACTGTGCTCCATAGACTGTCCCACGCTCTTGCTAAGAATCTGCACTGCTCCGCGCGTTCTGTTAGACCTTCCGACTGCTTGCTTCTTCACCGCATTCAGCCTTCCTCAGTGGTGACCCTTCCCTAGGAGGGAAGCGATCAGGTTACTGCAAACTGTGCCCAAATGATCATCACAGCTGCCTGCCCTGCTTTTGATCTCTTCCCTGACGTGCTTCCCCCCTTGCCTAGCTTCATCTACACGGTCTGCAGTCCCCAAAGCTCTAATTGCTGCTGTCTGATCCTAGTACATCCAAGTGGGATGCATCTGCTTTGCTGATGAGTGTTGGTATTTGACAGCAGCGCTGCGTTTCTGAAACCCTTTGCCCTTTTCGATTTGGTTGGTGCTCCAAATTTCACGCCCTTTAGAGAATGACAGGTCAAAGCCCCACAGTCCTTGACCATCAGGAAAAAAGCCTCCAATAAACAAATACTGGTAAAGAGCAAAGGGCAAAGATGGCTCTGAGCTGGCTCCAGGCAGGGTCAGCCATCCCAGGGTGGAGAAAGGGTATGGAAAAGATTCAGCGCTCTCTGGAATTTCATGCCAGCATACAAAGGCTGCTACCTGCAGGGATATGTGACGCTGGCCTGCTGGAGCTAATGAGACGGACTAATGAGAAGGAGGAATGGGAGACACAATTCACACCGAGGGTGTGCCATGTTTAGGGTTGGCAGACAGTGGTTAGAGATGGGTTCTGGCTGCAGAATTCGGGGTGGGGGGGTTAGGCTGTGGGCTTCCCGTGTGAGCCCACCTCTGCCAGGAAGTCCCGACAGTCTTTGGGCAGGTTTAGTTACCCCTGAGATAAAGGAAAGGAGGACTTGTGGCACCTTAGAGACTAACCAATTTATTTGAGCATTGGCTACTCTCATTTTGAGCCCCACTAGAGAGAGTCAACAGTGGGGACTGTGCAGTAGCTGTTTTCATAGCGCTCACCCGTCCAAGTGCCATGGTGTGGAGAGATGGCTAACTCTGTTAAGGGTGCCAGAGGGGTGTGTCTGTGTGAGGAGGGGCGGGGCCTCGTCTTGGCTCCTCCCCCTGGGAGCCAGCACGGCTTCACTGGGCGTGTGCTGGCTACAGCCTCCCAAAGGGTGGCAAGTCTCACTGCCCGGCGCCTCTGGAGGCGTTATGCCTCGCCTCCCCCTTCCCTAGGGTGCCTAGACTAGTCGCAGCCATTACTGAGAGCTCGAGAGGCGAAAGGGAGGCGGGGTGAATTGCTAACTCGTTTTTATTCCCCTTGGCAGATCTTCACCCGCGCTGGACCCCAACCCTGCTGAGCTCTGGCAGCCCCGTGCCGTTCACCAAAGACCCGTACGATACAAAAGGCATTGCCAGCACTCTAGCAGATACAGTCACCACCGTCCTGGGTAGCTCCCAGCCAGTCGTGAGCCGCGGCCCTGCCGATAACCTCATCCCTGTCTACTGCTCCGTCCTGGCAGCCGTGGTGGCGGGGCTAGTGGCCTACATTGCTTTCAAAAGGTAGGCAGGGGCCAATGTCCTGATGGATTCTAGGAACGGAGGGAGGGCTCCAGGAGTGGGGGAGGCTGCTGGCCTCAGACTGAGGCCCAGGGCCATTACTGCCGCATCGGGCAGCTTTCTCTAGCAGCATCTGGCCGTCTTGGGACCTTTGGTGATAATGGAGTTATCAGATTTGGCGGTTTACTCCGATTTACACTTCGCACTGGTATAAATGACAGCACCGGAGGGGCACATTTGGGAGTTGGGCACTCGTCTTCTATGGAAGGCCAAGGGGAGTTGGGCACTCACATGCCCTGTAGTGCAGAGCAATGGAGAATTGGGCCCTATATGGTCTCTCTCACCTATCTTGTTCTTTCTTTAGCTCGCTCATTTCCCTTTGGGGGGTGCTTGTAACTCCGACACATTCTGCAACTGCATCACTTTCAGTGTCTTGCACCCTCTCACCCGCTTTGTGCTGGGAGTTGCACCTGGTGCCTATGCAGGTTGCAGCTGGTTCAGTGTTTGAACAGAGGCTACGATTTCTCCACATACCAACGTGCTGGAAATAATCCCTAATCACTGTTATTCCCAGGGAGGAGGCTGAATTCTCTGCTAAGAAAACTCCCATTGACTAATCAGTGATGCCAGCAGAGGTGCACCCCCCCCCAAAGACATTCCCATGTGCACACCCACAAGCGTGTTCACACATGCACCCCACACGGTTCATATGTGCATATTCTCACCCAACTACCTGTGTGTACCGAGTCACTGCATTCACATTCAGTTGCATGTCTGCACACAATCCCATGTGCCTTTGCATATCGCTCGGTGCAGTGATTCACACATACACACAGGCCCACATGCTGTTTCACAGGCATTTCCACGTGCACACCAAAGCATATAAACACATGCATTTACGTGCGTGGACCCCGGTTTGACGTGCATTTATATGAGCCCACACAATCACAGATGTATTATTGATCAGAATGCAGCCATTTGATTAGCTCTACACTCGTGGTCCATCATTAAAAACATTAAAGAGCTCAAATCATAGACCTGTAAGACTGGAAGGGACCTCAAGAGGTCTTCTAGTCCAGTCCCCTGCAGTCAAGGCAGGACAACCTTATGACCAGCCTCAGCCAAGTTTATTGTCTAAAGACAAAGTCGTACGATACAGAAAGGATGTTTATGTACCGCCCCCTCTGGGAAGCTGCTTCTCGCAGCAAGTGCTTACACAGTGGGTTTGCTTCTAAGATTGTGCCCCCCCAAACTAGCTATTTTTATAGTACACCCATTTACAAATTAAAAGCATTCAATAAGACACCCAAGATTAAAATTCACCCATCAGCATTTTTACTTGTTTGTCCTGGTACCAGGGTGTGCCCCTTAGCTCCTTTTGAACAAAGCACTCCATTCCATGCCATGAAAACAGTCTCTACTTTGTACCAGAGCAGAGCACTCATGTCTCTTGATTTTGACAGGATTTATGCTGTATCTAGCTTTGCAAGGTATTGTGGGAGATATTGCGAGTGGGCAAGCCTGACCCTAATACAACTCAGTGCTAACATTCATATATAATGTAATGTATATGATATTAATATGATGGATACTACATAATACAGTATGCAATACGTATCACCTATACATTGGCTAACAGTATGCACACAGTCCCATACGTGCACAGACTCCAGTGCATAAATGCACGCAGACTGGTTTTCATGTTCGTTAAAAAAATATTTGTATGTCTAAAGGAAAGTTTATGTTTACAGGAAACGCAGGTCTCCGGTGGTGCAAATTGGCACTGAATTCAGTGGAGCGGTGCCACTTTACACTGTTGGAGAGTTTGGCCTAACGACATCAGGAGCAATGCAGTAATTCTCCCCTGAAGGACGAATGCTGGCTTTTTAGTCAGCCTGGCTAAACCTAGGCCGCCAAGCAAACTAAACCAGTCCTGTCCTAATCACAGTGGACTCATGCAGCCTGACTCAGTGGCCACACTCACCTCTGTAACACTACTGATTTCAGTGGAAGAGCTAGCCCTATGCTTAAAAGTTGGATCGGCCTAGCTACATCCCTCAGGGCTGTGAAACATTTTGTGCCCTGTGCGACGTAGCGTAGACTGTAGATGTGGATAGGTTGGCAGAAGAATCCTTCCGTTGACCTAAGTACCACCTCTCGGAGAGGTGTATTAACTACATCGTGGGACAAACCCACACAGGAAGTGTCTACGCTATCGCGTAGGAAGTGTCTACACTACGGCACTATGGCTGCAGCCTGGTCACTGTGCCGTTGGGAGTGTAGCCATACCCTTGATCCTCATTTATCCCTAGCTGAGACTTAAATGGCAAGCCCTTTGAGGCAAGGACAGTCTCTTTGTTCTGGGATTGTACAGCACCTAGCACCCTGTAGGGGGTCTTGATCCGTTACTAGGGCTCCTAGGTGTGACTGCAATACATCCTAGTAATCAGTATCAGGATGCTGGAGCCTGGATCTCTAAGGACGGCGGGTCTGGCTCTCTGCTGCTTTGCCCTCGTATCAACATTTATACCAGCAGTGCCAAGGCAGACAGGGCACAGAGGGGCAGGACAGGGAGAATGAGGCTCTGTGACTCTGGCTGACTTCCAATAAGATCCAGGTAAGAGGCTGGCGGATGTGGCTGGATTGGCTGTTTCATTCCTCTCCGCTGGTCCCTTCTGCAGGTGGAACAGCTGCAAACAGAACAAACAGGGCGCCAACAACCGCCCTGTGAACCAGACCCCCTCTCCGGAAGGAGAGAAGCTTCACAGCGACAGCGGGATCTCCGTGGACAGCCAGAGCCTTCACGACCAACAGCCACCGACACAGACCGCACAGGTGCAGGGTAAGGTTTATCCACCAAGCCGGGCGAGGGTGGGACCGGGGCTAGGCGAAGTCTGCAGTTCAGGGCTGGGGCGCACTGGTGGAGCTGGGAGGGTCAGACATGGTGTTGTGGGGAAGGGGAGCTGCGGGTCAGGATTGGGGTAGGAGTGGCTGGACAGGTTGGGACAGAGGGGAGCCCAGTTGGAACAGTGGGGTGATGCTGCAAGCCCAGACTGGGGAAATAATACACAGGAGGGTACAGGCCATAGGCATCCCCCGGTTTGTCTTGGGAAGCTGCCCGCCCCCCAATCCTGGGACTCTCCTGGGCTTTCTGACCCCTTCTGGTTCAGCTTCATCTCCCAAAGGCTGCAGTCACCCTGCTCTGTTCCTTCTCTTCCCTGCACAGCTCTGAAAGGAGACGGGAACCTCTACACCAGCCTGCCTCCTAACAAGCAAGAGGAGGTGGAGAAGCTGCTCAACAGCTCCCCCGAGGACACCTGGCGTCATCTGGCGGGGGAGCTGGGCTACAAGGAGGATCACATAGACTCCTTCACGCAGGAGGAGTGCCCTGTCCGGGCCCTGCTCTCCGACTGGTCCAGCAAGGACAGCGCCACCATGGACGCCCTGTATTCCGCCCTGCGCCGAATCCAGCGGGGAGACATTGTGGAGAGCTTGTACAGCGAGTCGACCGCCACGTCGCCGGTGTGAAGGGTGGAGTGGGAGAGGCGCTCCCCAGCCAGCCCCTCTGCGACCCCACAGAGATACCAGCCGGCAAGAAGATGTGAAGGAAATGGGGTTCCAGCCTGGGCCCCCTGCTATTTACGAACAATCCTGTATGCACTGACCTCTTATTTTCAGTATTGTCCCCTTTTTTCTATCCCCCTTTCTCCGGCAGACAGGCTGATGCGAAAGCAGAAGGGATATAGCCAAGGCAAACGGGAGCTGTGGCCTCCTTCAGTCTGGCTGGGACCTAGGAGTGCTTGACGGCTTCGGCACATCCTGTGTGAGCAGAACAATCTCTTGTGCCCCCCCATCCCGAACCCCAACAACACTTCTTCAGTAGCTGCAACAATGACCGCGTTTGCTCTCTCAGGTCTCTCCTCTTTCTTTCTCTGTCTGCTTCGTTCCCCCTCTTCCACTCCCCCTCTGAGGATCTTCCTCTACCCCACCCCCCACAATATCCACCCCTTCCTATTTGCCCCAGATCACCAGTTACTCCCCCTTTGAATTGCATCTGCCAAGCCAGGAAGGATGGACCCAGCTGAATTCAGAGAGAAGAGGGTGGATTTCAAGGCTAATGGTTGAGTGAAGATGTTATTAACAGGGAATTGGGAGGGAGGGTGGGGAGCAGAGGGATATCATTAGAAGGAGCTACCCAAGGATGCATCATGGGGGAAAAAAGGGCTCCCTCCATAGAAACACACATTTGTGCCTCTGCACTGTCTTTGGGAGCGGTGAGGGGCGGGAGGACTTTGTTTCCAGCAGGCAAAATCTACACTGTGAATCATGAAACATACAGCGTGCATGTTGGAGACAGAGATCCCCATGCCTCCACAACATGCACATGCCTCAGGCTTGGAAGAGTTTGCCTTGGTCATTAGCAGCCAGGCTGCCTGACACATTAAGAAACAATCTAGTCACCTGTGGAATAATGTCGTTTGCCCGCCTTGGATGCTCAGCGGTCAATAGCCAGCACCTTCCCAGGCACTGATCTCTCCAAGGCAGACATCACCCTTGTTAGAGCCACCAAATTCTAGTGGAGAATAGCAAACGGCTAATGGTGCCTGGAAAAACAGGAAACAATTGCCATCCATCACGCTGCAAGCCCGGTGCTGCCATGGAGATCTGGGCCAGCTGCAAGGCCCCTGACTCAAGCTGTCATCCCAGACCCATCATGTATTGTACTGGTGAGACACTAGGAGAAAGGCTCTGTGCCCTTCCTCGGACCAGTGATCCACCCACTGTGGGCTATAACGTAATCACGCTGCTGCATTAGCGGCCGACGAGCAAGGGGAAAGTGGGTCTGGGCGATGTTAGTGATGGAGTTGATTCTATTCTATATGGGCTCATAGACTGTGATCATTACCGCAGTATCTGAGCTGGTACGGATAAGGCTCGAAAGGGTCGGAGGGTGATTTGGAAGAGCGCCCAGAAGCTCAGCTGTCTTCACTGTATTATCTGAACCTCTCGGTCTCTGCAAAGCTGGAGACATCCCAAGAACAGGCTCCTTTGGGTATTTTGAGGCTTCCAGGGAAGACCCGGGTGGTAGAGAGGCAGCTGCAGCAACCTGTCTAAAGGAACAGGGCGTGGGGGAGTGTGTTCAATGGAGTTTTTCCCAGGCTCGGAAATGGGTTTGGGGGAAAGATGGTGTTGGAGGCGGGGGAAAGATGGGTGAAAATGGGTTTGGGGGAAAGATGGTGTTGGAGGCACATCAAAAAATCTGGCAAAAGAAATTCAGTTCAGGTCGAAATATTTCGTTTCGATCATTTTGAAGCATTTTGTTTTAATTTTGACCATTTGAAGGTTTTTTTTTAATGGGGGGGGTACTAGAATTAGCTTAATTTTTTAAGCAAAAAGCTACTTTGAACTGGAAAACTATGATTTTTCATGTTGAAAATGTCAAAATAAAACATTGACAATTTTGACACCCTCCCCCCCCCCAATTTGGGGTAGGAAACTTTTGTCAAAATTGACCCTTTCCTGCAAAAAAAAAAAAAGTTTCCATTTCAAAAAATCAGCGTTTTCCAGTGGAGAAAAAAAGTTTCTTTGGAAAATTCCTCACCCGCTCTACTATTCAATGCAAGTAAGAATCCGGCCTCAAATGTCTCCAGTTCTAGAATATACCCTGCTTCTGCCCTCACAACACAGGATCAAATCTCATTTGACTGGTAGCTAGTGAAGAATTGTAGCAGAACTGGGGTGGGAAGGGGAGCCCCTCACCCTTCCTCCTTTTCTGCCTCTGGTCTGGCCTCTTCCTCCAGTCCTCAAGCCAGCAAGTCCACGGCGTATATGCATAGAGCTGCTAATTCATTAACGGCCTGACTCTAGTCTCCTTGCTCAGACAGCATTGCCTTGGAAAGCAGTGGGAGCGCTGTCAGAGGAAGGAGGTCAAGAACAGGGCCTGCAGTAGCTGAGTTTTGGTGATGGTCATGAGTTCACAGATGAAATGAAGTCTATGGGCCACGTTCATCTCTGCTCCAATTCTGGGGGGGCTCCAAAGGGGCCGAACTTGTCCCTGAAAAGGGAAATCTGAGAGACTGAGCTACGTAAGTGAAGGACCTGCTGTTTGCCTCCCAGCTCCGCCAGAAACCTTGTTATTAAATGAGGAAGAAGGGGGGAAAAAAACCAAATGAGACAACTAAGAATTAATTGTAAATAATATTGTCTTGTTTTACTCACTGCTAAATGTTTCTAAGTGTGAAGTGGATTACAGTGCTGAAGAGCAGGAGACCTTGGCTTTCTCATCAAGGGCTTCTGTTCAACGCTGCCTTAGCATGGGGTCTAGCTGTTACCCGTTCTTCCACAAAGCTATGATAAGTGTTATAACCAGTGCCATTCAGTGCCAATGAACTGACTGGCCTCTCAGCGTCTTCCTGATGGACAGCGTTGTGGCAAAGATCCGTTTGCTCATGGCTCTGTGTTGCAGGTTGAATTTTATATTACCAGCCTTGTATTTGTTACAATAACCTTGATTCTGGCCTTACAGAGGGAAATTGACATATGCACACTTTTTTTTTTTTTAACAATGATGATGATGATGATGGTAGTGTTGAATGGCCATGCGAAACTGACGAAAGCAGAGAGATTAGGTCCAGGATGAAACTTCAGGCCTTTTTAAAGGGACAGGTTGAAATTTTCAAAGGTACCCATAGTTATTAGATGGCACCCAAATCCCACTGAATGTCAGTGGAAGTTGAGCACTTAACTCCTTTAAGTGCTATAAATTTCACCCATTATGCTTTAAAATATGGGGCTGGGGGAGTTGCTAAGAATTGGGCTTCTCGAACAGGATTTACAAAAATGTCCAGCTACCATCATACTTTTGATTGATTTAGGAGTACATGCCCTTTCAGTGGGGCTTGAGCTTCTAGGTCACCTAAGATGCTTTGGAAAACCAGACACCCATGATGACCATATGTAGGCATGTAATTAAATGGCCTGATTTAGGGGTGAGCACTCAGCAAGCAGCTCCCTATGAGGTCAGTGAGAGAAGAGCACCTCTGAAAATCAGGCCACTTAACCAGGTGCCAAAATATGGACTTAGGAACGGATCATTTAGACCCCCGTTTCCGAAAAATGTTGCCCATTTAGATGTATATTTTTTTAAGTTTTAGAAAACTTAATATGAGTAGAAATGTCCCAAATATTTTAAGCCAAAAAAAAAATGACAATGGAAACGGGAGGGATTGGATCAAAACCTTCCTGCTTTGGCGCTGAAAATGTAAACACAATGGCTATGGTTTTCAGACGTGACTAGTGACTTCAGGTACCCAAGTGAGGGCACCTTAAAAAGGGGGCTGATTTTCAGAGGGTGGGTGCTCGGCTCTTTCTGAAAATCAAGCCCCTTTAAGGTGTCCCCAGATAACAAGCCACTTGCAAAATGCTTGGCCAGCAGCATTGGGCTAATGCATGAGAAGCAAAAACTGAAACTTACCCATCTAGGTCAAACTGGGAGAAAGATAAACAAGCAATGAAAGACGAGAAACAATAAAAAAGGCACATTTGAGTCAGACGGATGTTATCTTTAACCATCTATATGGTGTTGTTAGTAATGCAGGCAAGGGATTTTTTAAAAATATGTTAATAGTGACCTTACCACTCATTTTTTGTATGCAGGCATTGAAGCATCATATAAGAAATCAGGTATTCTTCACAGGCCCCAGGGGTGCTTAGATATTGTACATGGAGAAACAGCTTTAATTTTTGAGTTGCCTTATATATGTGGAAGGTGATCGTAGTCGTAACATCCCTGTGTTGTGTTCCAGACAAAAATGCCTTGCAGAGAACTCTGAAAAGCAAATTCATAGATACTACAGTCAGAAGGGACCATTATGATCATCTAGTCTGACCTCAGGCCACAGAATCTGCAGACTCACAGCTATGTTGTCAAGCTGGTTTACATTTTTCGAACTATTGGTTCCCACCGGAAGATGAGGTTTTCCTCAAAACTGAAAGTTATCCCAGGAAAATTTAGTTTTTTCGGTGAAATTTTATTTTCATTTTCAAGGGAAATTTCGGAACAAAAATATTCATTTAGCTTCATTTGAGATGGCAATTTTTGTTTCCATTGCTGAAAACCGAAACAAATTGAAAATTTCTATGAGCATCAAAAGGAACATTTGTATTTGAATTGGAATGAAATAGACATTCTCAGGTTTTGCTTTAAAATTTCCTGCAAAACATTGGAACGAAACTTTAGCTGAAGATTTTCAACCAGCTCCAATATTTTGGATTCTCTCCATTTTTGAAGCGCACGGAAACTTGCATGAGAACAGGATTAGATTGGGGTTTTGGCTGGGATTTGCAAAGTACACACTGAAAGTCAGTGGAAGAAGTCTGAGGTACTTATGACAGGTTTCAGAGTAGCAGTCGTGTTAGTCTGTATTCACAAAAAGAAAAGGAGGACTTGTGGCACCTTAGAGACTAACCAATTTATTTCAGCATAAGCTTTCATAAGCTACAGCTCACTTCATCGAAAGTTTATGCTCAAATAAATTGGTTAGTCTCTAAGGTGCCACAAGTACTCCTTTTCTTTTTGAGGTACTTATATTGTTCCCATCACTGTGGTATCTGTGCAGGGATGGTGTCCCTAGCCTCTGTTTGCCAGAAGCTGGGAATAGGCGACAGGGGATGGATCACTTGATGGTTACCTGGTCTGTTCATTCCCTCTGGGGCACCTGGCACTGGCCACTGTCGGAAGACGGGATACTGGGCTAGATGGACCCTTGGTCTGACCCAGTAGGGCCATTCTTATGTTCTTATCTGATCACCTCCCACTCTTTAAGGCAGGGAAGTGCTATTATTCCCACTTTACAGATGGGGAAAGTGAGATCCGGGGAGAATAAATGACTTGTGTCAAATCAGAGAGAAAGTTTATGGAAGAACAGGGGAAATAAACCCAGCTCTCCTGTGCTGCAGGTTAGCATTTTTCCATCCTGCTCCCCCTGCAACCACACAGACCCTGTGCTATTTCTCTCTGAGGAGTCATGTATATGTTCTGATGGCTAAGGAGGACTCTACGAGTTAATGTTCTTCCAGCTTCTTAAAAAAGAAGTTACTCAGTACCACAAAGCAATATTTGATCATATTATTTGCACTGTGAATCCTAAAAGCAGAGAACAGAACAAAAGCATCCTCGTTAATCACAGATCTCCAAATAATTCACCCCCCGTAAATCCTTAGGAGTCACACGGGAGAAACATTGTGTTCCTTCCCTTCGGGGTGAAAGGGTTAATTTAAAGCAAGGCTCGCATTTCCTTCCCAACCCACCTGCAAAAGCCTGGCCCTTGCAGGAAGAGAGGACAAAAAAAAATAAATGGCCTGCCAAGCAAGTCAGCGAGGGTCATCTGCTCAGGGGCGGCCTGCCTGCAGTGGGAACAAGGGAGAACTCAGGGGTTATTTAGGGCACAGTGTGGGAACAAGGAAAGATCCGGCCTGCTCTGCAAAGAGAGCAGGAAAGGATGGGGCAGCTAGAGAGCCTGGCCGAAGAGGTGGGGCTGGGGAATCTCTAGTGGAGGAGGGGAAGAGAGACTGTGAGGTGTAAGGGATGCCTCCCTGATATGGAGAAAGGCTCAGGGAGCATTGTGGCATCAGGAAGTGGGGGAGATGGCGTCTGTGTGAGGGGGAAGGCTCAATGCAGCGTGATGGCTCCAGTGGGCATGGGAGGACGGGCACTTTGGCAGGGAGGGATTCAGCAGTGGTAGCCACGGCGGCTCCTGCTTGAGTAACAGCCTCCATCTCACCCAGCAAACTATAGTCCTCTGCTTGCCCCATCCCAGTGGGACACAGTGAAAGTGTCAGAGGCAGAAGCAGGGGAGGGGGGTGTCAGGAGGAGAAGGAGGCTCAGTGGAGGATGAATTTTTAAGCCCTGAAGAGTCTGTGTTCATGCCAATCTCTCTGTAGACCAGGCAGAAAGACCCATTCAAAGAAAGAACCATTTCCACAAGGCATCAAATGCTGATGGCCTTAGCTGGCAACTGCGCATGCAAAACCCACCAGTTTGGAGAATTTGTTCCAGACTCTGAGCCCAGCCACCCTGGCGTAAATCCCAGTGCAGTCCAGTGGAGTTCGCCTGAATGTGCAAATCCACTGACATTGGGACGACTCTGGATTTATGGCCCGTCTACACACAGAAGTGGCACTGGTTTAATTAAAATCCATTTCAAAGCTGAGCTGTTTTCGTGGCTATAGTGTAAACATACCCTCAGCTCAGCTTAAACCTGGCTTCCAGTTTTACTTGCGTTGTTAAATTTACTGGTAAAAATTAAACCGCTACACATTAGATTTAAACAGATTGATGAGCGGCCACATTTGGTTTTTGCACAACTTAAACTAAATCGGTTTAAAGTCACGCTTTCATTTAACCGGGTGCAATTCAGTGTGCAGAGCAGGAGCTCCTGAGCTCATAAATCTCTTTCTTATTGCCAGAGCAATATTGCTAAGTGCTCAGATCCTAATGGCCATGTAGGAGAAGCCCCTTGGTGCATCACCAAATTCCATGCTGACGCGAGAAGCGTTCAGTATGCAAAGAAGGACTTAGGGACACTTCACCTTCCTGTTCTGAGACAAAAGTACCAAGGGAAAAAATAAGCCAAAGTTAATGATCTTGGAGATTTTTGTTGCTTTTTATAATGTTTTGTTGTACAAAGACAGCACGTTCCTCTTGTTAATACCTGTTATTATCCCGGCCCCTCGGGTTTCTCTGTAATAGGAGTAATGCCAATTAGAAATTCTTACAATGAATAAATATTCCTGTAATTCAACCACCCAGTTAGTCCTTTTGCTGTGATTGGTGTCAGCAGTGGGCGTTTGGGTGGATGGCTGACATGGCCCAGGATCAAAAGGTTGTGTTTGTATGTCCATGAATGAACATGTGCTTGTGTGGGCAAGTAGCCGGGTGTATTGTTCAGCCATGAATAAGCAGCATACAGTGCTGGTGTGTCGTGGATGTATTTAGTGTGGGATTGCTTTTGCCTTCACTGGCATGTGATCGTGTAGTTGTGATTGTTAGCATGCACGTGTGAGTACGTTGGTGTTTCACACTGTGTGTGTGTAGGCGTGTGTCCTCACGTGTGTGTCGCACAGGAATTTGGGACTGTGTGTATGTGCTTGCTGGACTTTGTGTTCGTGTTGCTTGGACTGTGTCTCAAGATGACGTTTTTTGCTCCGGATGACTTGGGAACACCAGGATTTAGCTCACGAAAGCTTATGCTCAAATAAATTGGTTAGTCTCTAAGGTGCCACAAGTACTCCTTTTCTTCTTGCAAATACAGACTAACATGGCTGCTACTCTGAAACCTGGATTTTAATCGCTGTTCTACCGCTGAGTTTACCCTGAGACGCCAGTCAAGTTGCCTTAGCAGTCTATGCCTCATTTGCTGCAGTGAGGATGATGGTCGTGTTACTGGGGTAAATTAGTGAAAGGTGGCCTTCAAATGATTTTTAAATAGTGGGAATCGCACTCTTTCCCTACCATGTTTATGAAAGAAAAAGGGACTTAAGAGAGTTTTTAAAGGTGGGGGTTTGTTTTAGTTTTTTCCCCCTGCTTGATTTTTAACCTTAGAAATATCAGAAGAATGAAGTCTGATCTTCATTGATTTGGAGAGAGGATGTCCTGGGCTTGTCAGATGTGTACTGTGGGAACTCACGCCTCAATTAAAGCAGCTGGGTTGAGGACTCTTTAACAAAGACTTCTTTTCTCCCAATTGTTCATTGGACAGAAGGGCTACAGAGATCATACCAGTATCAGCATCTGACCGAAGATACTGCCCTCAGGTTTCAGTCTTGTGTGCGCTCACAGTTTCACTAGTTAGCTGATCCCCAAAGCATCTTCCAATGCAGACAAGACCTGGATTTCTAATGCTTTAAAAAAGAAGAAAGAAAGAACGAAGAAAACATTTTTCCTGCCCCCAAAACACCTTCCAGCTGGTCTTTAGCTAAGAAAAAGGAGCATACATAGACACAACCAAAATTATTATTTTGGGGCATCTTTTAGATGTGCCAGGTGCTTTGACCAGCAAGGACCCCATTGAGGTCAATGAGCCCAGAACTAACCTGATAAAGACAGAAAGGGCAAAGTTTAGTATTTGTTATGGTCCAGTTTTCCAAAGAACCTAGGGCCAGATTTTCAGTGGCTTTCTGCTCCCATTTAGACACCTAAATACAGGCCAGATTCCCAATGCTCAGCAACTACCATGCCTAAAGGGGCTTTAGTAAAAGCCACGGGCCCCACGGCAGACAATATGCCCTTCAAATAAAGGCAGTGCTTGGTGCAGAGTGTGTTTATAAGCACGTGGCGGTAGGACTGCGCATGTGTTTGCAGAGTTGGGGTGTGGATCTATACACACAGGTTGGGGGGGGGTTCTACCCACAGAAGCATGTACGCAGCCCTGCTCCCAGGGTTGTAATAGGAGTCTTGAATGCAGGTGATTTTATTTTCAGCTGCCCCAGTTCCCTCTCCTTGGTGGGTGTTGTGGTGAAGCCCAGGATTATAGATGTGTTACTATATATATACTATATATATAATCAGTTCATTATTTTAACTTGCTTCCCCTTAATCCCCTAGGAAGGGGGTGGGAGTCTTTGAGAGGCCAGGGGTGGGTGGGTTGGGTTAGGCCATGAGCTGGATTGCCTTTGTCCCAAGTTTCAGGGTGACAATACCACCTGCAAGGTTCCAAGTGGGGGTCATGGCATCCTTGCCTCCTGTTTCTCTTCCCCGGATTCAGAGCCCTGTTTGGGAGAGGTGGGGGGGCTAGGAGGAGACTCATCAAGGTGGTCTTGATGTGTGGGAATGGCTGTGTAATAAGCTCCCACCTCCCCCAGGAAACGAAACCGATTTATGGTTATTGCAGGAGGAAAAATATTAACAGTAAGGTCTGGAAAGGAGCCTGAAGTTCACATTGCTGTGGTGAGAGGGACTCGGACAACTTCCTTTCTGCTGTTTACAGCTCCCCGAGGAGCGAGAAATTGGCCCCTGGCTCAATCTCACATGTGCAGTAATGAGCTCCAGCAAGCCTCGCGTCAGGTGACTGATGGAATCCATTCAGGCGGGTGGGGAGGGCAAAGGGGGGGGCTGGGGTGTGGTGGATTGAAGCGCACGACCCCGACCGAGCCACACCCCGACCCTTTATTGACGCTCTGTTATTCGCTGCACCCCGTCAGCTCCTAAACCCACCAGCCCCCCACTCTGTGCCTCAAACAAAATCCCCCCCAGTGGTGCCCTCTCCTCCCTCTGCTCTCTTCAGACCGCCCTGTTCCATTCCCTGTCCCAGACTTCCAGGCTACAACCGAGATCTGATTTCTCAGATCCCCTTAATCGTGTCCCAGTCCCTGCTGCGACCCTACATCAGATCATCTGCCACCACGGCCCCTCCCCAAGCTCTGCGTCCCCAGTCTCACCCCCAACCAACAGAAGATTCCTCCTACCGTCTGCCTCTTCACATGCCTCTTCCATCCATGCTCTCTCCTACTCACCCCTCTCAAGGCATTCTCCATTCACCCCTAGCCCCAGATCCTTCTCTACCAATCTGCCTGAACCAGTAACCCTTAGTCCATTCTTCCCACCACCAGCACATATACCAGGTGAAATCCAAGCCCCCATGCCATCACTGTTAGAACTTCCATTTGACTTAACAGGGTCAGGATATCACCTTTTCCATTGCTGTGTCCTCTGTCATGTCCCTTAATTCAACTTATGGTACCGTTCTCTCTAGACACCTGCCACCCTGTGTTTCCCAGTTCCCATCTGCACCCACCCTATTTGCCCAGTCCCCTCACCCTTCCCAGAAGCAAAGATCACAGAACCTTCTCCCCACATGCACAGCCCAGCTGGTGGTAGTGACAGAGGTGGGCCCAAGCCAGGACCATAGATGACCCCTCTCTGAGGAGAGATGCTCTGGCTGATGATGCACTGGGCAGGGAGTCAAAAGATCTGGGTCTAATTCCCAACTCAGCCACCAACCCCCTGTGTGACCTTGGACAAGTCACTTAATCTAGTCTGGGCATAATGCTTCTCTACCTCATAAGGATGCTGGGAGAATTAAATAAACTCCATTACTAATTAGAGGGTGCTCAGATAGTTTGCACTTACCTAAGCACTTACCTAGCCAGCTAGGAATGAGGGCAGGGGATGGATAAAGTGGGACCCTATTCTGGGCAAGTCCCTCTCACTTTGGTTCTGTGAAACCATTAAGCCCCAAATGTTCAAAAATTGTGAGTCAGGCCTGAAAATATCATGAGATCCACTTAAAACTCATGCGATTTTTTTAAAAAATGACAATAGAGGTTCTTTTTGTCTTCTGGTTCCTGTGCCTTTAAGGTGCACTTGGGTCCCATTTCCAAACTTTCCTCCTCCAGGAGGGCTGGAAATGTCCTTTTTCTTTTTAAATGAAAGCAGAGATTATCTCAAAAATAGCAGGACTCCAGGCGCTGGGGCTTTACAAATAGAACTTTCTATGGCGAGGCTTGCGAGCAAATTGCATGAGTTGGCAACATGGCTTAGGGCCAGAGTTTTGCAAAGCACAGCGCCCCCATGCTTTCGGTCCTGCTGCTGGCTCCCTCTGTTCCTGGAGCTGGCCGAAGCGTCTGTGTCGGTCCCTCTCGGCTCGTTAGCACTGACTACACTCAGATGGAATATACAGCAACTCTGAGCTGCCCCAGAAAGCGGTGGCACCAGCCGCGATTCACCCCGGTCTCCAGCACGCACATGGCCGAGCTCAGCTCCCGACACCCAGGTGATGGTAGGAAGCGATTTGTAATCAAAGGCAAAAGGGCCCCCGCTTTTCCTCTCCACAATGAGGCTATTACCTGGTTTTGCCAGAGGAAAATGGGGCAGGGGGTCAGAGGCTGGAGCAGAGCAGCCTGGCCTCCCCACCATGCCCCCGGGCACAATCTGTCTGCCATATGTGGAGGGGAACGCACATTCCCAAATAATGCAAAGCAGGTCGCTCGCAAAGCCAGCGGTGGCGGCAGCGTGCCAAATTCGAGTCAAACTCCATCCCCAAAGGCCGGCTCAGTGTCTTATAAACACAGGGGCTGTGGGGAGGAAGGCAGGATTGATGTGATGAAAGAGCAGCATAGAGAGAGGCACATTTCCTTCTCCACTCCCCCTTAAACTCTTTTACATCCATCTTTGCTCCCAGTCCAATGGGGCCACTCGTTCTAATCTAAAGAACCGGATTGAAGGGGGTAGGCAAGAAAGGGCCAAGATGCCCCAAGGGAATTGCAGAGCAGAACCATCAGAATAGGCACATGCCAAGAATTGAGTTATTATTACATGGGATACAGTAGCAACCAGAAGCTTCAGCGGAAATCAGAGCCCCGTTGGGCTAGGTGTTGAATAAACACACAGGTATGGCTACCCTGCAGTCAGAGGGTGTGACTGCAGCTCATGTACACAGACCTGAGCTGGCTTTAATCTAGGTCCGGGAGCTGGGAAACTGCAGCTCCATAGTGGGTTGTACAAGCCCACCTGGAACTCTGGGTAAATACTTGGACAGCTAGCCTGCGCGGGAGCCTGTCCTGTCACACCTTCCCTGCTCCAGTACCCGAGCGAGCCAGAATAAAGCTGGGCTGGAAGTGTAGCCATACATATACTAAGAGAGTCCCTGCCCCACTGAGCTTACAGTCCTAATATCCTAGGACACGGGCAAACATACCTGAGCTCTGCCCCAGGGTGAAATCTCATCTCTATGACTGTCAAGGGCAGTTTCAGTCTGCATGGCCCCTACGGTACTGCTCCCAGCAGCCGGGAACGCTCTGACCT